GTATAAAGCAATTGCTTTACTACTTTATCTTGTTATTTTATAATATTGAACATGTTCTTTTGTGGCATATACATATGCATATGAATATGTATATGTACACACACATATAAAGTCATGTATTTACTTAAGATTCTATCTGTGTAGTTCTTTTCAAGAGAATTCCATGAAGGCGCTATTTTGGTCTTCTCTGGGTGCAGACTCCTGACTGGGCAAGTGTCCCATGGAAGTTGTATCTGTGAAGTTGGTACAAAGTTATTGGACCCTGTGAAAAGGGAGTGTTGTAAGAGCTGTGCATCCTTGGATATGTATGTAGTACCTGTTAGCAAAGTGCTGTGAAACTGCCAGACTAGACTTTGAACTGCTGCAGGCTGTTCTGTTCTGTTAGTCAGGAGCCAGAAGTTCTTTGCTCCAGGGAGTTGACCATGGGTGGGGGGCAGATAAGGGATGTAGTGGCCTTTCTGATTACGAGAAACCCACTTCAGATTTCTATGGAATGCTGAATTTATGTTTACCTGCTAGCATGCCTTCTGTCGACTATGTAAGGATCCAGCCCGTCTTGGGTCAAACTGTCATCTCAGGACATTGTCAGCAGAAGGGCCATGTTGGGGACCTGCTTTGTGACTAACAGTACCCTCACCTTACTGCTCTTCAGCTGCCACTAGGGGCCACTGTGGGGGCGGGGCAGATACAATTGTTCCTGGACACTGCACGGTTACATGGGTAGCTGCATAGCTGATGCTGCTCTGCTGACAACTCTCTGAGTTGAGCAATGCTGCCTGTTGGCTCTGGCTGTCTTGTGTACCTGAATGCTCCTAGCCTCTTCCAGGGAGGCATGTGGCCATTTGCCTGAGCTCTAACCGTTGTTGTATGGTAGAAATGACTAGTTTTTCTAGTCCTGATTATGTTCCATCTCCTATTTTCTCCCCCTGCTTGATCAATTTATTCCAAGGAAGTTTGGAGGAGAAGAACATTAGAAAGTGGCCAACAGACCATTTTTGCAATATTTTGGCAAAGACTGTGGCTGCTTTCTACCCTTGTCCAAAAAGTCTGCCAGAGACTGAAGTGAAGAGTTTGGGATTAATGACACAGGCAGAGGAGATTTCCAGACTGCTTAGTAGTTGACAATCTTTTTTTTCCCCCCCATTTTTAAATACAGGATTTCTCTGTGTAACCGTGGTTGTCCTGGAACTTGATCTGCAAACCAGGCTGGCCTTGAACTCATAGGTATCTGCCTTCTGCTGTCTTTGCTGGGATTAAAAGCACGTGCCACCACCAATCTTATTCAGATCTTTAATGAAAATGAGCAAGGTGAGCAAGGAAAAATACAAAATGTATAGTTTGAGGGGAAAAGGAGCACCGGAAAGTGTAAGGGAGCTAAGTCCAGTGCTCAAGGAGATAAAAAGTTTAAAGAAAAGGCTGGTGTTAAATGGAATAAAGAGAGTGGAGAACTCAGGGCAAGACCCCACCCAGCTATAAATTCAGTTAGTGAAAAGGAATTAAAGAAAAGCTAAGCAATGGAGAAAATCATTGAAAACAGAAAGCTGGTGAAAATATATTTGAAGAAGTAGACCAAGTTCCAGCCCCAGAAAGCAGTTTTAGCTAAGCCATGTGGTTTTAGCTTTAGAGTCAAAAATATAAGAAAGGGATTATGGAATCTCCTTCCTCAACTAAGCAAAGCTGCTGGGGTCAGGTGCGTGTCAGGGTGTTCCTGCGTGGAGGCCCAGAGAGGCCATTGTGTGAAGTTGTGAATGTAAGTCTGGATTGCCTTGAAGACCACAAGATATTGGAGATGACAACATTGTGGGCTGCCTGCCGAGGAGAGCTGCTAACAGGGAGTGGAACCAGCCCAAAGGAGAAAAGTGTGTTGCAGTCAACAAAGCCAAAAGGAGTTGGAGACATGAAGAACACTTTGACACCAGACATGGAGATGCAATTTGGAGTTTGCCCAGCTGGAGTTTGGTCCTGCTTTGGTCCAGTGTTTTCTCACTTTCCTCCCTTTGGAATGATAATGTATATTCTGTGTCATTGTATGTTGTAAGTATATGATTTGTTTTTAGATTTTAATTTTACAGGGGTTACAGTTAAGAGCTTTTCTTGAGTCTCAGAATAGACCTTAGACTTTGAAGCAGTTTTGTGACTGAAAAACTGTGGGATTTTTAAAGTTGGACCAAATGCATATTTTTGCTTTATAATATGGCTATAAACCTGTAGGAACCAAGTAGTAGAATGTGGCAATTTGAATACAAATGATCCCCATAGATTCATATATTTGAATACTTGATTATCAGGGAGTGATACTATTTGAGAGCGATTAGGAGGTGTGGCCTTGTTAGAGTAGGTGTGGCCTTGTTGAAGGAAGTGTGTCACTGTGGGTGGGCTTTGAGGTCTCAAAAGCCTATGCCAGGCACAGTGTCTTTTTCTCTTCCTGCTGTGTAGCAGGTCTTTCTTTGAATCACCAGCTTCCGAATAATGACACAGAAACTTATTATTAGGTATGAAAGCTTGGCCTTAGCTTCACCTATCCTCTCCTGCCTAGCTATTGTATGTTCAGCTCTTTATTAAGCCCACCGCCTTAGGCAGATGAGGTAAAACAGACACGTCTTCACGGTGTGCAAAAGGATTATCCCACAACACTGCTGCCTGTGGATCCAAATGTAGAACTCTCAGCTGTTTCCCTCAGCAGCATGTCTGCCTATGTGCTTCCGTGCTCCCTGGTATGATAAAGGGTTAAACCTCTGAAACTGTGAGCAAGCCCCAATTAAATGCTTTCTTTTAGGAGAACTGCCATGGTCATGGTATCTCTTCACAGCAGCAGAACACTGCCTAAGACACCATTATAAACATTATAGTACATAGTCTTCAAAAACAACCCTAGGAGGTGAGCAGCAGAGCAAAGGCCACTGGGAAGTCCAGAGTGAACTGCCATAGGTCCATTCACAAAGCAACTGGGTCAACTTGTGACCTACTTTTCAGCTAGTCTAGGGTGTTAAAAATTTGACGTGGTGTCAGATTCATTGCGCTCTCCATTCTTTCCTACCATGCCTAGAACCCAAGCCACTGGAACTACAGACACTTTCTCATCCTGAGAAACTGTACTCCGGTGTGAGATATAACACACACAAACACCCCCCCACACACACACACGCACGCATGTGTGCACCCTACACATAACACACATAAACATACACATCATATACATACTTACATTCTGTGAATGAAAAGAAATTTGGATTTGGCTAGCTTATTTTGCTTAACATCATGATCTATACAGTTCTGCCCATTTTCCTGCAAATGACATAATTTCATTTTCCTTATTATCTTTTGTCTGTCCATTTATGGATCCCCTTCGCTGCTTTATGGGGTTGTGGGATCGCTTCTCTGGAAAGGCTAATCTGGTTCTAGCTCTATAGTGTGTGTGTGTGTGTGTGTGTGTGTGTGTGTGTGTGTGTGTGTGTGTGTTGGCCCAAGAGTTCTTCAGAGAGGCCCATGGTACTCAATAGCAGGCAGGGTTAGTAACTGTGTTAAGAAACTCTAGGGGGTGTAGCATCCAGGTGGCTTTGCTGACCCCCAGGTCGGTGCTCTTGGCTCTGCCGGGCTCCATGCTAACCTCTCAGTGTGTGCACTTTGTGGTCTAAGATAGGGGAGTCAAGCTCTGCTGCACCGCTGGGAGCCTAGACAGTTCTCTTGCTTTGCCTTCCTTGTTTTCTGATTAGGGACAACAATCATGGTGGCTTCACATCCAGGGCAGGGTTGCCCTGTGCAAGGCTGGTGGGGCACCCTGCTAGGATCTTGGCACCCCTCCTGTGTTTTATCTCCTTACAGAGAAGCTGCAGGAGTTCCTTCTGTCACTCTAGCTCCACCTTCCTCGCTTCTGATTAGCAAGCTGTTTAAAATCTCAGCGAGCAGGGGCACTCTAATTGTGTCTCTACATACTGGGTTTTCAGAATGTTGTTTTCCCTCAGAGTTGTAGAGGTGGAGGATGTGGGTCAGTTTGACTCTGCCTTTCTCTGTCAATGGTCTGCAAGTAATAAATATGCAAGAGATGGGCTGCTGGTCCATGTTTAGTTCCCCCCAGTGTCCCAACATGATGTTTGTTTCTGCTTCAGAGTGGAAATAAGCGATTACTTTGAATTTCCCTTTCTTTGACTAACTGGAGAAACCCCTTCTTGAGTCTTGTTTTAATGTGCCTGTCACAGGTCCAGGCCCAGTGGGGGAGGAGAGGGGATAATCTCTGTGGTAGGCAGGCTTACTACCTCAAGAGAGTAACAAATCCCAGTCTCGGGAGTGGCTGGCTGTGACAAGAGGTTTCTACAGGTCTTCCACTTGTTCCAGATTTAAAACCCCAAAGATACTTGCTTTTTGACCATGAGTGAGAAGAGTTCTCTGTAAGGCAAGGGAAGGGTCTCTGGGACTGAACCCCTTCCCACTGCCCATGAAGGTTAGCTGGCAGCTGGGTTGTCCTACATAAGGGAAAACATCAGGGCAGACCTGGCTAGCGAAGGCTTGGCCCATATTTTGAGAATTATTAGTCTGCATTCTTGAGTTTCAGACTCTTGGTCAGCTGTGTATTACATTTTAAATTGCTTTTGTCCCCCCCTCCCTGCTTTGTTCTTTTGGTCTCTGCCAGGTGAACTAAAACTCTTTTTAGTAACTTTTAAAGAGGTATTGTCTTTAGCCTGAGAGAAGAAATGATCAAATTGCTTGATAGGTAAACATGGATATGAGTTTGTATTTCCTTAGGACTGAATCTACATTCCACTCCCACCTTTATTCTCTAAATCTATAGCAACACATAAAGAATTAATCTTAATTTTCCTCCAAAATTCTTCCAGGAAAATCCTTTTTCAGCTTAACAGATTTTATTCCAACGAGGAAGCCTCTTCCTTTGGACAAAATTTTGCGTATTGTCTGTTTCTTACAGAGCTTCCGTATTGTCTCAGGCTCCACTGGAAATGCAGCAAGGATTCCTAGCACATCCCAGTTGCCATAGCAACAGCAGTCTTTCCCATAATGAGCTGCATCATCTGAACTGATGTCACAGCATCATGCAGCAGGTCAAACAAGGCATCTCCTAGTATTGCATCCTACAGATGTGCTGTAAACATCAAAAGAAGACGTCGGGAGCAGGAGATGGTGAGTATTAAATGTCCTGGCCTTAAATGCATGGCTGTTTTGTTGGTTAATCGGCGTCTGCAATGGCAGAGATGGAGGGATGTTGTCTGTTTAAAATGGACCGGAGAAAGAAGGGTCGTTTTACCTAATTCTGTTTTCAGGCTGCTGTGTTAAGACAAAGGCCTGAAAGCGTCATGTAAGAATCAAAGTGTAAAGATTTCTTATTCCATCTCTGCCTGTGATATTCAGTGTTCTCATGGGTTTAAAAAAAATAAGCACAGTATAATTTTTGATTGCAAAAGCCCATATAAGCTCTAAAATGTGTAGTTCATGGTATTTTAACATTGTAAAGATATGTTTCTTTTTTATGGGGTAGGGCTAATTGGCCCCATTTGCCTCTATGATTTATGAAATATTTAGTGACTTGCAGAATGGAATTCAGGATTTACCTCCATTGGGTTTCAGGTTCTTCACAGCAAAGCATTTGACATAATCCTCATGTGAAAGGGGTTCTCTTGCATGTTCAAGAAAGAATCTATTAAAAGCATAAAGGAACAAATGCTATTATTTATGTCCTTTGACTTGTATGAAATGTCTTCAATTCGGGTCCTCCATAGTTAAGAGGTTGTAGCTGGAGTTGCTTGCAGGCTGGTTTGTAACTGAGAGAGGAACACATCTCTCTGCGGCAGTTATAGTCAAGGATAACCAGGCGAGACTCTGGAGGGACCAGTGGCACTGTCATCTCTTGCTTAACTTTAGCCCCAAACTGGGTGGGGTGAGGGATAACTGTTGGGGTCCTTAATACTTGCTAGGAATGCAAATCTCTGTACTCATTACATCAACTCAATTCTGAAAGTCTAGGTAAACATGCATTGTTTACATTTAATCCACAGCTTGTCTTGAAGCATGTTTACTTTTTTTTAATTTATTTTTTTAAAAGAAAGTCTAGCAGGCCAGTAGGGAACCTTTGTTTTGGAAAATGACATGGATTTCCCTGGAGCAGCTGATTGCTGCTAGGGGAGAGAAAGGAGAAGGCACATGTCAGTTCAGTTGATCAATCTGTCCACTTACAGTCAGGGAGTGGTCTTACGTTTCAGCGCAGTCCCATCGCTAGTTCTTATTTATACAGTCTCACTGGAAAGAATAACACCCTTGAGTTCCTTTTCGTTTAGTTTAGATTGTTGATGGAGCCTGAAACAGATATATCATAAGAAGCAGGAACAGACTGGATTGATTTTTTTTTCCCGTGGAGTTGAGCGTGTCAGTCCCATTAGGCACTAGCTTGAGTGGGAGAGCTTGCGTTTTAATTAGTTTGTTTATCCCACGCCACACACATGCTGCTCCCAGTCTTTTAAGCATAGATGGCTGGCATGCAGCTACATGGGATGGAAGAGGTCAACTCCGTCTGGCTCTCTCCCAAGCACTTAGGAGCATGGATGTTCACAGCCTGCTTTTTTTTTTTTTTTTTTTTTTATGACGCATAGTGTGAGCAGAAAGCTCTTCTGGGACTGCCGGGTGTGAACACAGAGGCTCTAAGGTGACAGGGAGGAGCAAGATGGAAATGGGGGAAGGGTAAGAGTGCCTGGTGGCTGAAGTACAAGTCTGGACACCATGCCCAGCCCCCACCAGAATCCCTCTGAAGTATTGCTTCCAATGGCTAGTAACGAGAAGAGACCTCTAAAGGCAGCGTTTTAATGGGTCGTCTCTTGCCTTAATTCTTATCTCTTTTGTCTAACACTGCTTTCAGCTGCTTCATCGGGGGTGATGTATACAATTACTGGAAGTCACAGAGGCCGGATTCCTTAAGGGCAGTGTCGGAAAAGTGAAGTCATGCTTTGAGGGTGGGGAAGGGCACTGGCGGGTGTGGGCTGCGGCGCAGTTGCTTGTGGTACATCCGCCCAGTGCAGACAAGCCTGTCATCCACCCAGCCCCCACCGTGTGCAGCTACAGTTCCTCAACTTTATGCTTTTGTGCTTTTTGCTCCAGGAGAACAAAGCCGCGATGGCTGGAGCTGTCACCCGGCTGTTCTGTTTCTTAGCGGGCCACAGCCTGGGCTGCACTCTGATTAGCTGGGCCTTAATTACTAGCTAAGGCTTTTTCAGTTGCTGTAGCTTTAATATATCCCCAAGGGGTAGGGTGTGTGTGTGTGTGTGTGTGTGTGTGCGCGCGCGCGCGCGCGCGCGTGTGTGTGTGTGTGTGTGTGTGTGTGTGTGTGTGTGTGTGTGTCTGTGTGCTTGTTTGGGGGAGGGAGAGAGAAACTGTTCTATGACTGGACTTATTGGTGCCTCAGTGAAATTTTCTAGAATTTTAAGTATTTTGTTGTGCATAATGACCGGAGAATTATCAAAGCCATGTTGACTGTGTGGCCAAGTTTAGACTGTGTAAGTCGTACAAGCAGTTAACCTCTTGAATGCTTTTGGCTATGGATTTTGTTCCTGAATGACAAATAATAAAGAATTTAATTCTTTCCAGATAATTAGGCCATAGTAGGACTACTACTACTACTACTAATAATGATAAGTATAACTAACATTTATTCAAGTCATTATTTATCAGTTTTACTGGGCCAAGCTTTGTGTATCAGGCTGTTTAGCTCTTAAGATGGCATTATGAAGTAGAAAGGAACAGTCGCACTTCATATGACTGGGCACGGGTACTCATACTACAGAACCAGTTCTTAGGATAGACATTTGGCTAAAGTCACGTGTCTTTTAAATAACCAGTGTGTTCTGCCTGGAAAACCTGCATGCTCTCTACAGCTCCTCCACTTTTACCACAGCTGAACTGTGTTAGTCATTTCTGCTTTCTCACACATAGCCAACCCCTCCTAATTCTGCCTGGAAGGTCAGATTTTACAGGTAGAATGTAACCTCAGTACACTCACATCAGTTCACTGTAAAGATGAGAGTGAGTCCTGGTCGGATATGAATACTTACTTTGTCCATAGCTGTTTAAGTAAAGCAGGGCTGACGCCCAGACCCTCGCCGCTGCCCCTGCTTGACATACTGTTTTAACCGGGTCTGTGCGTGGAAGATGCAGCACGAATGTGAGCGGGCATGACAGAGTCTCACTGAAAGTCTCACCTGAGTCATCCGTGATTCAGGTTTCTTGTACTCCTCCTATTAGCCGTCTCTGTAGTGTTCTGCTGATCTTAAGATATTTGCATTTGCTGGTAACACCAGCCAGATAATAAAAGCAAAACCTCTCTCACAGGCCAGAAGGTCTGATACGAATTCACCTCTTGAGTCAAGAAATAACAAGAGGGTTTATTGGCTGGATGTGTCAGTGGCTGGAACTGAGTGATGTATGATCTAGTACAAGAATCCCAGGCCTGTGCAACATCCCGGAAGCCTCGTGCTTGAGGGGAGCCAATACAGTCATCTCTGCATCATCTAGCCCGCTCCTAGCTATGCACTCCCAGTGTCATTACAAGGCTCTAGGGGCTGTTCTTTGTTTAAGTATAGGCTAATGCACACACTGATAGCACACTGGTATTGATTATAGGGGGGTGGTGAATGCTTAGAAATATTATTCCACAGGGTGCATTAGCCTTTTCTAGGTTCTGGGAAGAAGATAGCCTTTGTCCTAGACTGCTCCAAGGAGGCCCAAGTTTTTCTGCATGAGGTACAGGGTTGAGAAGTTGGTTAGGAAACAGCTGGAGCATCTCCACACAGTACATTCTAGAGGGGGAATGGCGATAAGGTGGTACAATCATTAGGGTGATTCCTTTCACCTGGATACTGAAAAATGCTTCCGTTTACTCTAATTCCATGTGCTAACATAGAAATCTCCATAGATGTCTATGCATGCATGGCTCATATATGGAGATGAACATACTACATTGAATAATAGCCAGATTTTCTTCCTTGGCATGGATTAGATTCTTGCCATGTGTCAAAAAGTCCAGTATTGTCATATTGGTATGAGCTATTCTGAGAAATATAATTGCAATAATTTAGAAAGTAAATTTCTGTCTCATTTGACAAAACTTACCTATGATAATAAGACATGTGTAAGACACATCAATTAAGGAGTGATATAAAAAATTTATTGCAGTATTTCTTGCCTTGACAAACTCCCTTCCTGGACAGGCCTCTAGGTATAGCATTCTGGGAACATGGTTGGCCAGTGGAGATGTGTGCAGACGAGGTTCCAGACTTACATGTTTATACAAGCATGCTGTACAAATGTCAACTCAAATGAGAAGGCTTGGAAACAAGTATCTTAACTAATTTATTTAAAGTTATGTATTTACATGACTATTTCTAGGTCTGCATTTGTATTAGTTACTTTCTCCAAGCAGAGGTTTATTTTTGCTCATGGATTCAAGAGGATGTCGTCTCTCAGGACAGGGATGTCATGGCACAGGACCGAGTACATTTGTCGTGGCAGGAGTTTGAAGGGGCAGTTCCTCACATCTTGGTGGAAAGTAGAGTGCTGGATTGGAACCAGAGGCAAGAGTAATTACCAAAGACATGCCCATGTCTCACCTCCCCAAACAGCGGTACCAGCTGGGTACCAAGTGCTTAAAACAAAAACTTTGGAAATATTCCAGATTAAAAACCATTGAAACATTTATGTGTCCACCTTGGTTTTTTCAAAGCAGAAAAAAAAACCAAAATAAAGGAAAAAAGCTTAATATTGAGAGCTCTCTCATCTTTACTGGTAACTGCAGACACTTTTCATATAAATATCAGTTTTTATTGGACTTTGCACAGAGTATCTGACTGTTAGGTGTTCTGAATTAATAAGGCCTAAGGTTTCTTCTCCAGAAGCACGTATCTGTTAGAATCTGAAACCTTGATTTGGTTTTAAGACTTGTCTTGTAATCCAGCAGCTGTACTTTTCTCTGATCCCCAGCCACAAAGCATGCTCTGAATTCTTCCAGCCATCTTGCAACGGTGTACTTGAGTCACAGGGAGAACTAAGCAAAGAGTGTGGGACTTTCAGAACAAGTTCTCCAACTGGCTGGTGCCTGAACTGAGCCTGGCTTGCAGCCTACGTCATAACCTGTGCCATTA